ATTTCATGCCAATAATAATAAATTTAGGCCGACGAAATCGACTGCAGGCGTGCACCGGTCTTGGTCTCTTCCCCCGAGCCAAAGTAGTCCTGCAGAGCCGACATTTCAATCTTGTTACACTTCAAGCTCCTTATGGCCTCGGCAGTCGCCAGTGCCCCGGCAACCGTGGTTATAACCGGAATCTTGTACGCGAGTGCCATCCTCCTCAGCTTCCGCCCGTCAATCTGATCAAGCTGGTCCCCAGAGCTAGTCACCACCATCATCTGAATCTGCCCGTTGGCAATCATGTCACCTGCATGGGGCCGCCCCTCGTGCATCTTCAGCACCCGCTCCACTGGGATGCCCTCAAGCTCCATCACGCGGGCCGTCCCGGAGGTCGCCGCCAGCCCAAACCCAAGCCCCGCAAAGGCACGGGCAATTGCCGCCAGGTGCGGCTTGGTCAGGTCATTCAAACTTAGAAACAGCGTCCCGGAGAGTGGGAGCCTCTGGCCCGCTGCTATCTGGGCCTTAGCGAAAGCGACCGACGACTCGTGGTGAATGCCCATGACCTCCCCCGTGCTCCGCATCTCCGGGCCCAGGAGCACGTCCGCACCCTGGAACTTCTCGAACGGCATCACTGCCTCCTTGACTGAGACATGCCTGGGGATAACCTCCTCCGTGAAGCTCAGGTCCTCGAGCGATTTTCCAGACATGACTAAAGCGGCGTATTTGGCCAGCGGGCGACCGATGGCCTTCGACACGAACGGGACAGTCCTTGACGCCCGCGGGTTGGCCTCCAGCAGGAAAACCTCGCCCGAGGCCGTGATTGCGTACTGGCAATTCATCAACCCGCACACGTTTAACCTCTTAGCTAATTTAATCGTCCAGGACCTGATAGTGTCGAGGCACACGCAAGAAATGGTCTTCGTGGGGAGCATGCAGGCCGAGTCACCCGAGTGGACCCCGGCCTGCTCGATGTGCTCCATGATACCTCCGATCACGACATTACCGTACGAGTCGGCAAGGGCATCGATGTCGATCTCGACCGCATCTGATAAGTACTTGTCGACAAGGACTGGTCGTTCCGGGTCGACCTCGACAGCGGTCTCAAGGTAGGTGACGAGCTTCTCGTCGCTGTAGACAATCTCCATGGCTCGGCCGCCGAGGACGTAGGATGGGCGGACGACGACAGGGTACCCGATTTCGGTGGCTATCGAAAGGGCGTCTTTCTCGCTTTTCGCGATCCCGCCTCTCGGCTGCTCGATCTGGAGATCTTTTAGAATAGCGTTGAACCTCTCGCGGTCCTCAGCGGCATCGATGGAGTCGGGGGATGTGCCCCAGATGCGGACGGGTCCAGAGTTGCTTTTGGAGACAGGGGCATGCTCGTCAAGGTAGTGCTGAAGGGGGAGGGAGAGTTTGAGGGGAGTCTGGCCGCCGAATTGAACGATGATGCCGTCGGGGGACTCGAGATCAATGACGTTGAGGACGTCTTCCACTGTTAGGGGCTCAAAGTAGAGGCGGTCGCTCGTGTCGTAGTCGGTGGACACTGTCTCAGGGTTGGAGTTCATCATAATCGTCTCGTAGCCTGCATCCTGTAAAAACAGAAGGAACAAACAGTGAAAGCATTAAAATGTGAGTTGTAATCAATAATTTTTTTAGTGGCGTACAGCGTAATTGAACTGCACAGTATAATTGTCCTTTAGTCCCCTCGAGGAAAATTATTCGTGCCAAACTCAAATGACGCAACGCACCTTGGGTCGCTATGGAAACAGCCTCCTTGTATAGTTACAAGGGTAAGGTCTGCGTACAACTGACCCCCCAGACCCCAACTTGTTGGGAATATACTGGGTATGTTGATGTTGATTGATGTTGAATGGAAACATCAGTACATGTGTCGATTCCAACCATCTCTTGAAAGCACTGATACTACTAATTTGATCTTAAATAGTGTTTCTATCAGCACAACATTTCAGGACAGATGTTAATTTACAGTTTTTAGTTAGATTCTGAGGGGACAATTCCAGCTACATCTTCCAACAAGCAACTTTCAAGTAAGATTCAATCAACTATAGCCCAATAGATCTAACACCCTATTTCACAAACGTCAATAAAGGATACAAACTATAAAACCAAAATTTCTTTAACCTAAATCCATTTGGCGTTAAATGCACAAACCTGAAGGGCAAATGACGTGTGGCAACAGCAGTAGTCAAACTCAATACCCTGGCCGATTCGATTAGGTCCTCCACCCAATATCAAAACTTTTTTCCTACTGGTCGGTGCTGATTCACACTCGACCTCATAGGATGAGTACATGTAAGGGGTATCCGCCTCAAATTCAGCAGCACATGTGTCTACTCTTTTGTAAGAAGGTTTGACTCCCAAAGACAACCTTTTTGATCTAACTTCCATCTCGCTCGATTTTGTGGCAAACGCAATCTGTTTATCACTGAACCCTCTCCTCTTCACCTCCCAGAAATCATCTTTAGTCAACTGTGACAAATCCCGTGCCAGCATGTACTGCTCGACATCCACAAGTTCTTTGAACTGGGTGAGGAACCACTTGTCTATGTAACTCAACTCATGTATATCGTCCACTTTCAACCCCCGTTTCATTGCAGCATATATGGAATGAATGCGGTCAGGACTGGGCACCCTCAAGCTGTATTTCAGCTTTTCCCAGTCCCAGTCGAGTTCCTTCACTTTTGCACAGCCCCATCCGGAGTAGCCGCATTCCAGGGAACGAACTGCTTTCTGGAAAGACTCTTGAAAAGTTCGGCCCACGGCCATGGATTCACCAACAGACTTCATCTGGGTGGTCAAGGTTGGCTCTGAGCCAGGAAACTTCTCAAAGGCGAACCTGGGTATCTGCATTATAATGGAGAAAGTAACATGATGAGAAACATATAAGTGTTACAACCTCCCAAAGTTAGTATTGTATGAAACAAACATTAATTTTGAGACATTTATATGTCGGGTGGTAAAGAGTCCTTTCTTTTACTGACGTGCAAAAACCTGATTAGGCCAAAATTATATTACCTTGGTCACAACATAATCTATGGAAGGCTCAAAGCTCGCTGGAGTTTTCTTTGTGATATCATTAGGGATCTGATCCAACGAGTACCCCACTGACAACTTGGCGGCCATCTTAGCTATCGGGAAACCGGTCGCCTTCGAGGCTAAAGCAGATGACCTCGAAACCCTAGGATTCATCTCGATCACCATCACCTCCCCATCTTCAGGATTCACGGCAAACTGCACATTCGAACCTCCGCACTCAACTCCAATCTCCCTAATAATAGCAATGGAGTAATCCCTAAGCCGCTGGTACTCCTTATCAGTCAATGTCTGAGCAGGAGCCACAGTGATGGAGTCCCCAGTGTGGACTCCCATAGGATCAATATTCTCGATCGAGCAAATAATTACGACATTGTCCGCCAAGTCCCTCATAACTTCAAGCTCGTACTCCTTCCATCCCAACAGAGACTTCTCAACCAGGACCTGAGACGTGACACTAGCAGCCAGCCCCGACTTGCAGATAGCCTCAAACTCCTCCCTGTTATAAGCAATGCCGCCTCCCGTCCCGCCCAACGTGAAAGCCGGCCTTATAATCAGGGGAAATTCCCCAATCGAATTAGCAATCTCAAAACATTCCTCCAGAGTAGTACCGATACCCGAAGGAGGGGTTTTGAGCCCGATATTCTTCATGGCCTGTTTGAACAGGTCCCTATCCTCGGCTTTCTTGATCGCATCGAGCTTTGCCCCGATCAGCTCCACCCCATACTTCTCAAGGGCCCCACTCTCGGCCAAAGCCACAGCGAGGTTGAGCGCGGTCTGCCCGCCCATCGTGGGCAGTAAAGCATCGGGCCTCTCCTTCTCGAGCACCTGCTCCACCAGCTCGGGCGTCATGGGTTCGATGTAGGTCCGGTCAGCCATCTCAGGGTCGGTCATTATAGTGGCCGGGTTGGAGTTTATGAGGATGACCTCATACCCTTCCTCCCTGAGGGCCTTGCACGCCTGGGTACCCGAGTAATCGAACTCACAGGCCTGACCTATGACAATGGGCCCCGCTCCCAGGATCAGAATCTTTTTTATATCGGTCCTTTTGCCCACCTTTTCGGAGGCGAAGGCCCCCATGTTGGTCTTTACATTTCCGAGCTCGCCTTGAGCCTTCACAGAATTCAGCACCCGCAGACGTGTCGAGAAGCGGATTGTATCGGAATTGCTTTTAGGGGATAGCTTCTTCTTCTGGAAAAATGGGGGAAAGGGCTTTGCAGAGGGTAAATGGCGATTCGTTCGGACAAACTTACAGAAAACGTTGTTGCAGTGGTGCACGCTGCTGTGACTCATCTTCTCCAAGGCACCTCCTTTTGTCCTCTACCTACAATTTTCCTACAGTAACCATCAAAATCACCATAAGAAAACCTCGAAACATAAAATTGAAAATCACAGTCTTGAGGATATTGGAAAGATTTAAACAAATGGCAGCTAAAATTAAAAAAGTGGTAGAGTACCTGGCTGGCGGCGTTGATTGATGAGATGGGATCGAAAATTCGAAATTATTGAGGAGAAATTAGGGTTTAGGAGGTTTTTGGGGTGCTACAGCAAGTGAGCTAGCAGCAACCTGCAGGTAGGAGCGAATCTGAACGAGTGTAGTGTATCTCTGTGGAAGACAGCCGCCTGAGGTATCCTTTAGTAGTATATGTAGGGTGTAATGTGTGAATACCTAATAGGCATACTAAATATGGCCTCTTTTTGGATACTACTAAAATATGTTAATTTTAAAAAGGGGCCATAAACACGATTAGATTAACAA